CTTCTAATTCTCTCAGCACCACACTCAAACCACAATTTCTTCCAGGCTGAATGTATGGTTCTAGAAGACTCTTGCCCCCATGCTTTGTCTATGAGCCTCAAGCAGGTGACGATATTAAAATGTTCCTTCCAGAACTCCCTGAGGGTTAAATTAGTTTCAGAGGTCAACTCAAAACACCTTTGAAATAGTGCCTTTGTGTAGGCACTATTAGAAATTTCTAATTTCTTAAAATTAGAAATGACCTGCTGGATCCATGGGCTGGATGGGAGGAGTTGATAGGTAGCAAAAAATGTAACAGTGATGAAGCTGTATACCTCTACCAACTTAGCCAACAAGCCTGGAAGGTGGGCAGGAGCATTGTCCACTATAATAAGTACCCCGAGTAGCAGCTGTTTTCCCCAGAAGTATTTCTGCATACTTGGGGCAAACACTTCATGAATCTACTCAGTAAAATATTGCTTCATTACCCAAGCTTTGCTATTAGCCCTCCACATCACATTCACCTTGTTTTTCATGACATTATTTTTCTTGAAAACTTGCAGATTTTCAGAATGGTACAGGAGTAGAGGCTTCAATTTCATGTCCCCACTCACATTCCCACACAAATAAATGTCAGCCTGTCCTTCACTGGGTTGTGTCCTGGCAATGACTTCTCTTCCTGTGTGATGTAAGTCATCTTTGACATTTTCTTCCAGAAGAGACCCATCTCATCACAATTGAACACTTGTTGGGGAACAAATCTCTCAGCCTCTATGTATTCTTGAAATCCTGTCACAAAATGATCAGCAGCTACTTTGGCAGGACTGGCAGCCTCCCCATGCCTCACTGCATTATGAGTGCCACTTCTTTTCCTAAATTTATCAAACCACCTCTACTGGCCTTAAATGAATCGCTTTCAGCACTCGTTCTAGGTGTCTTTTGGTAGGTCAGCATGCAGCATCTTCACTTTTTCATATATCATTGCCTCTGAAATGCTATCCCTGGCTGACTGTTGAAAATTAACAACATTTTTTCTACTTCTTCAATTGCTTGTGATCATTGTTTTGTGAGCACTCTCACACCCTTAGCAACATCAGCACTTTTGATGGCCTTTTTATGTTTTAAAATTGTGCTAATTGTCAATTTTGCTGTGCCACCCATACTGTTTCCATATCAGACACACAGATGCCTCTATCATACTTTGCAATTATTTCTTTTTAAGCTTCTATTGATGTTCCCATGACTTTTCACTTTTCTGCTATCACTAACCTTCATACGGACCATGTTGACTTACTGTACATATACAATAATAATAATAAGCAGCAACCAAAGAAAAAGTATTCACAGCGCAATTTCCTGAAATATTAGCAACATGAGATTTAGTGGCAAACTGACAGGCACTGGCACATTCTCTCCTTTGTTGCCTGAGAGACGTGTGACTGATCATACAGGTATCAGCATGAAAGGGTTGTCAAGTTGAGAACTGAAGTTTTGCTCACAAACCAAGACATTTTTTTCATGAACAACTTGGGTTAGAACTGAATTGTTTGAGATGGAAGATGTTTGAGAACCAAGGTTTGACTGTATGTGCAAGACACCCACTATTAACATTAACAAAATAGTAAGTATCAGAGGTTAATAGCTGGTTCCCCCCTAAAACAAAAATATTTCCAAAAAGAATAAAGTAGAAGGACTGGAGTAAAATGAAAGGAAATAATTGCACAAAATGCTTTCCTTCCTGAGTTGCAGTTGTGGGGGTGCTTTTCAAGAAGTTCCAACCAACACAATTGCAGCCAGCTAGGAAAAAATAAACCTGATTTGGTGCTCAACAATAATGCCTAGATTTGTTTAGTGATTGTTGTGAAAATAACTTTACTCTACATAAATTTTTTAATGGAATCACCACCATGAGATCGAAAATATAAATTGTTGTACATTCTGTGGCTCTATCTAACATAAATAAGCCAAAATTTATACACCAGTTTTATGAAGCACTTTATTTTAAGCATGGCCCTGCCTCCAAAATACTGCAGCAAGGTGCTGAAAACATTTAATGAGAAACATAAAACACGTGCAGATAAAGTAGGAAAATATATGTGTTTGGACTCACCAAGAGTTGTCTCAGTTATCATGCTTACACAGTAATTTAGATGTCTTGACACAGTTTTATTCCCAACTGTTTGTAGTTATTTTTCTACTACCTCTACAAATAAGTGAGTTTCATCATCAGTAGCTACAAAAAGCGTGGCTAGAGTGTTATAGTACTGTCTCTGGATTTACCAGTTCAATAAAAACTCCTGTTTCACAGGAAAGTAAATCATGTTACCTAACTGAAATATAAGAGAATGGATTGGGCGAAACAAGCAAACCCACTTATTTTTCTCTTCTTTTTAAAAACAGGTGAGTTTTGGAAACATCTGACCCTCAGGAGGTGAATTTAATTATAAAGGAATAATGGTTGTTTTATAGTCCAAATAACCAAAGTTTAGATGTTATAATGCTCTTAATATAGTTATTTAACCAGGGCATTCAAGGCAGCTCACAAAGCCAGTAAAGCTCCTCTCTCCCTTTCATTCCTTTCCCAGTCCTGCTTTCAATTACTGGCCTCTCAGAAGCATTTAGGAAAACACTGAGGACAAGTAATCAGACATTGGAAAGCCCAGACCAACTGCCCAAGGACAGGAGGATGCACTGGTTCTATTTAGAAAACCTGTTTTACAATGATTTACATGCTACTGAGTTGGCATTAGATGAATTCCTCCTCACAGTGTAATGTTTACTAGCCATTTCTTAGTGGTTAATATAATACAAGGTGTAGTCTGTGTTTAAGTCTGTTTTTTTTTCTTTCCAGATAGTGTGTCTTGGCAAAGTCCCACTTTATCCTCTCTTAATAGTTATGATGTTATCTTGGCCAGAATAACTTACATAATATAGTAAGGTTATAGCTTATTTTCAGAAAAATAATTTAGCCATCTTCATTATCATCAATTAGAAGTAATTGACCAGATACCCATATTAATATGCAGGGCAGCTTGTCATTATTTAGAAATTGTTTCTTATTTAGTTTATGTTTCTTTCAATGTACTAAAGATTTTCTTCCATAATTCCTTAACTGAGACTAAACTATTTACATTACTTCTAAGTTTTATATCTACATAATAAAATAATAATTTTCTGTGATTGTTTAACATTATTTCCTAGATTTACATGCATCTTCACATGATGCCACATTTGTTTGGTCTTGTGTAATTTTTCCATGAGGTTTCAGCCATTCAATACACATTTATTATTAGCCACTTTTGTAGTTACTGAGGGTACCTGAATGAACAAAGCAGACAAAAATCCCCACCCTCAAGAAGCTTACATTATTTTAAAGATGTTGCAACTTTAGGTAATCTTTCAAAATAAAAATCTCTTTATCAGACCAACCTATTTGGTCCCTTCTTCATCTATATGTCCAAGTCATAGCCAGCATTAAGAAATAACATTTATGAACCACTTATTTTGTGACTAATCACTCGCTTTACATTGAGTGCACTTAATACAATAACTTTAGAAGAAGGTACTATTATGACCCCTTATTTACATGTGAGGAAATTGAGGCTCAGAAATTAGTTAAAGGGAATAACAAGATTAGAGTCCCCTTGGCTCAAAACCACCATTTCAGATGATTGTTTACTATATTTGATGAATGAATACATGTGTGTACTTTTTTGAATTCCCATTCAGCTTTGCCTAAACACCATCTTGTATTACTCTAGAACAATTTAGGCATTTTGTAGGGAGATAGGAAGGTGGGAAGGATGATAGAAAATAGTGGGCTTTGAGGGAGTTTAGGCCAATGATCTCACTGGTGTTGGGTTATTAGTCCAGTGTGGTTGCCTTATAAGGTGGGAGCAGGAAAGAGACATAAACTCCCTCCACTTGGGGCCTCAAACTGAGCTGCCTCGGGGATTCAAATTCATCAGTGGGGTTGGAGAGCTCCCTCGGAGTTCCCGGAACCGGAAACTTGTGGGAGTATTGGCTACCTTGAATGTGAAGTTAAACAAGGGACAACCAGAGCCCAGAGAAGGGCGAAACTAGGTAGTGTGCCCTGGGGGCATGTGTCTGTAAATCTGTATAGAATTTGGAAAGATGGAAAGTACCTTTGTGTGGAGTAAAGCCGCGAAAAGTCGTGGTGCGGTAAATGAATCACTGTCCTCCATCCTCTCATACCACAGCCCCCAAATTTGTTTCATCCCACAGGGTTCCCACAAGTTCCCTCCCTTCCCCCCATTCCCTCTTCGAGAATTTTCCCCCGGCGCGCCAGGGTGTGCATGCGTAGTGAGAGTCCCAGGGGCAGCAGTGGGATATCGATCGTTTCTGTGCTCAGCTTCTCAACCTATCGGCGCTCGATTGAGGGGCCTGGTACAGTTACTTCCGGTTTCTGTTCAGTTTCCGGCTTCTGTTTCCCAGGGACGTCGCGCGGTTCTCAGGTTAGTTTAAGTGCATTTTCCCTCCCTGTTTCGGTTGTGGCGGCTGCAAGTTGACGCTTGGCCCAGTGCTCCCCTGTGGGAGCGGGGGATAGCGCGTCGGGTCCGGGGTTTGTGGAAGGCTCGACTAGTGGGCGAAGGAGTAACGGTGACTTCCGCGCTGGTCTCGCTAGGCACCAGAACTTAAGAGCATTTTCCGTAGGTTGTGGCTGGGTCACGTGGCTGCTTTTTTAGTCTTCTGACTGGAACCTTGGGCGAGTGTGTTTGTCAGGAAAGGAGAGGTACGGAGTACGGAGTGAAGGATAATGAAAGCCCCTTCGCTTGTGTGAATTTACCTCTCGCTCTGAGCTTTCACGTACCATCCAGTGGCTCCCTTTTGGATTGGGAAGCTACTCCAGGTCCCCCGTACTAGTCCAAGGCTACCATCAGACATCGAATGAGCGCCTCCCCTCCGATCTCTTCTTTCCGTTTGACCACTCTCTTTTTCCTTTTGTTGTATGGGCGACTCCGCCCTCCAGGTTTCAGTTTAGGGGGTCGGGAGGCTCTGAGAAGCATTACGTTTCATGTATCGCCCGAACAAGTACAGTCCCTTTTCAGTCATCGTGTGCTGTTCGCATGCAGTGGAAGAAGTTGTATTATTTGTGAAGTTAAAGAATATATAGGACATCCTAGGATAAAAGCAGTCAGAACTGGCAACTAAAGACAATATATACAGTGAAGTAGTGAGGTGAGTGTGAAAGAAAAGTGCGAGACCATAAGACGAACTGAATTCACAGGTCTTCTGCTTACGACCTGTGTGACCTTACGCAAATCCCTTAATATTTAAACGACTGCTTTAAGCACTTACTGCCCAGGCAAGAACTGTGCTAGAACTTATTGGTTTTACTGGGTAAATGCTGTTCCAACATCCCCACTTGACAGGTGTGGACCCGAGAGATTAAGGAACTTGACCCCAGTCAAACAGGTAGTAAGAAGCAAGACTGGGTTTGAATTCAGGACCTGGCTGGTAGTAGAATCTGAGCTCTTAACCATTATGCAGTACTGATCTCAAGTTCCATTCCTTCAAGTTGACTAGAGATAACTTTGGAATTAGTACAGTTAGTGAGGGTGTATATAAATTAATAAATAAGAAAGTGCTTTGTAAGTGTACACATGAAATAGTTCGTGGCAAATAGTTTTGTCTTAATGATTTTTACTGGATGTACACTTGCTAGTTTCTTTTTCACTTTTCTTCAAATCTCAGATTTTAAATAATTAAGAAAGAAAAGTTATTCTATTAGGCAGATGGAAAAACTTCTCATAGTGAAAGGTAATTATTAAAATGTATTGGATAAAGGAATGTTGTTAAAATCTGGCTAGGTACTAGTGCTCCATAAAGTTTTGTTCTTTTGATTAAAAAAGAGCTAGCAAGAGTAGGAGAGGCTGAAAGAGAACTGAAAAGTTAGTAACTCTTGTGTTCTAATGTCACATTAGGGTAGAAGTTAAAATTCTCTGTTTATAACAGTATATTTACTGTCTCTCTAGGGTATTTGAACAGTTTAACCCAAAAGATGGATATCAGACCAAACCATACAATTTATATCAACAATATGAATGACAAAATTAAAAAAGAAGGTAAGTGCTCTTCAAAAAGGTTTGTAAACACCCAAGTGTGTTTAATTACTACCATCTTAAAAATTGTACTGCTTAAACACTAGTCACCTAGTCATCTTTCTCAGTGTCTGAAATAACGGTTTATCCCTATTAGGGTAAGGATTTTAAGGCTTCTTAAAAGTACAAATAGAAGGTGTGTTGAATCCATTTACACTCATAGATAAAATAATTTCAGATAACTTTGTAAGTCAGAAAGCCAGTGAAAATAGTGTGATATTTTTAAATGTGTAATTTTATATAAATGAATAAGTGAGTGGTAAAGGTGGCATTTAATGCAGTATCATTTAATGAAGAACTTTGTCATTGTTTTATTCACAAATAAGTTGTTTCCCCTCTAATTTTACACAGAATTGAAGAGATCCCTGTATGCCCTGTTTTCTCAGTTTGGGCACGTAGTAGATATTGTGGCTTTAAAGACCATGAAGATGCGGGGTCAAGCCTTTGTTATATTTAAAGAACTGGGCTCATCCACAAATGCTCTCAGACAGTTACAAGGATTTCCATTTTATGGTAAACCAATGGTAAGTTGATCTTAGTATTTTGGTTTTAATCTCTATTAATGGTATAGTAGATTTGTAAATATATACCTGACACTGTACTTACTGCTTTCTGCTTTTAATTCTGTGTTAAAGGGAGTTTGGTTTTATTTTACTTATTCTTATAGAAACAGTAGTAAGAGTTGATAATTTACTTCCTGATTTATGACAGTTCATGTGGGCAGAAATAAAATAGATTGAGATGTAGACTATTTTTAAAAATAATTGCAGTATGGGCCATATTATCTCAAAAATACAAAATTAATAATAAGTTAGATTAAAAGGAAAGATCCATTCATAAACTCGTAAAGCAACACACACACACACACAAACATGAGTCAAAGAGGAGATCTAATATTTTAGATTTGGAAAGGTTCAAAAACCACCATAGTGAAATACTACATGTCAGAAGCCATGCAGTGTAGATAAAGCAATGACCTAAGGATAATTCATAGACTTATATTCATGTTTTATTAATAAATGAAATAGTTATTCATGGAAAGTTTGAAGCTCAGGAGTGATACGAGACTCACATTTGGCTGCTAAATAAAGATTGGATTGTGGGAGGGCCAGAGGGAAAGTAGGGAAGTAAGTTAGCAGACCCCTGGTGTAAGTCAGAGATGGTAGAGGATTGGATCACAGTGGAGACATAGTGTAAAGCAAGGGGTTCTACTTGTGTGACTGAGTATATATATAGCACCTTGGGTGTGGGTTCCAAAGCGCTTTTCTTCTGGAGCTGGGAAGGGCGCTGGGGAAAGAGCCAAAGCTGAGCATCTCAAGGGCCCAGGTCCTCATTCTGGTCTGTCGTTAACTGATTCTGTGCCTGTGTTCAGTTTCACCACCAGCAAAATGTAAGCAAATTGGATATTTGTTGGTCTCATTCAGAGGTCAGCAAAAAACTCTGTAAAGACCAGGTAATAATTATTTTATGCTTTGTGGGTCACATACAGTTTCTGTTGCATACTTTTTTTGTGTGCGTAGTTTATTTTTAACAACCCTTTAAAATTGTTCTAAAAAAAAGTGCTAAGTCCTTTATTCATAGGCCATAGAAAAACAGGCCAAAGGCTGGAATATGCCCATAGTCTGTAGTGCAGACCACTAGTTTAATTCCTTTATTTTACAGATGAAGAATAGGACACAGAAAGGGTAGTTACTTATCTAGGTTATTCTTGATATAACTAGTACAGCATCAGGAGATTAACAACTAATCTCTTAACCTTTTTCCTAACCCAGGAGTCAGCGCACTATCTGTAAAGGGCAAGATAATAAATATTTTAGGCTTTATGACCCAGCTGATCTTTTAACTGCTTTTGTAGCAGGAAAAGCAGCCCTAGATGTTATGCAAATGATTGGGTGTGATTTTGTTCCCTAAAGACCTAATTTACAAAAGCAGGCAGTGTTGGCCGAGGTCAGTAGCTTGTGGATCTATATACCACACTGTTTAATTCAGGAATGAGCACTTTTTCTGTGTTACTAGAGCAAGTTTTCTTCTCATCCTCTATCCAGCTACCCTTCCCATCACTTCCCACCTCCCTGGGCATAATATGTATGGAAAGGCCTGTCCCAGAAAACTGGGATTGTGCCCACATGCCCTAGTTTTCAGTAAATTGGCACTTCCCGAAACCAGCTTATCTTAGTAGTATGAAGAAATAGCATAATTGAGATCTCAGTTGGCAGGAGTATAAGACTAGGTTTTAGTTTAGATCTAAAATTACATAATATAAGGGGTAATTTCTTCCTTCAGGAAGGTTTTTAGGAATTTTTTGCTGAGTTGAAATGACAGGCTTGCGTGTGCCTGTTATTCAGATACAGGAAAGCTGGAAGTTATTTGCTGTATTTGGCACCACTTCACCTTGTCAAGTAATTTAGTTTAAATCAATGGGAAAAGTTCACAGACCGATCTTATATTCGAGGTATTTTAGGATGTCCATTCTCTGCCTTCAGGAAGGTAGCACATACCTGCCAGACCTTCAGCATCCTGGAAGAGGGAGAAGAACGTTCTTTGAGACATCCTGTTTGCATTTATTTAGGTGGTTATAGTTGCTTTTCTGTTGTAATTCCAACATACCAATCAGAAGTGAACAAAACTTGCTATAACTTAGACCAAAATTATTTTTTGTGATTCAAGGACATTTTAGCATTTACTGCCAAAAATACCTTAATAAAGTAGCATCATTCTAAGGGCTGCTGTCATGAAACATTTGGCTTAAATGTAAATCTTGCCTCTTCTTGAAGCTGCAGGTGGGCTTTTATTTTTTTATTCATATTAAGTCTAGACCAGGGTTTTTCAGCACTGGCACTTTGACCTTTTGAACTGAATAGTTTTGTTGTTGTGGAGGGCTCTTATTCATTGCAGAGTGTTTGACAGCACTGCTGACCTCAGGCCACTACATGCCAGTGTCCGGACAACCAACAGTGTCTCCAGTTAACAGTGCGAGCTGTCCCTTAGTGGGCAAAATTGCCTCTGGGTGAGCACTGGTCTAGCCCAGCCAGGTAAGAGTGATGGGTAGAGTCAGAGATTGTCACAGGTGATTGTCAAAAGGACAGACACAAGAGATCTACTCAGAGGAAGATAATATAAGAGCCAGGGAAGGCGAGTTGGGAGAGAATCCTTGGAATGAAGTTGTCTGAGTTAGTGTGGGCTGTCAGCCTACCTTTGGTTAGATGATTGCTGAGACTAGCAGAGTTGCTTACAGGGATAAGTGCACTCAGAGCTACTCTAGCACAGCAGCCCAGGCCAGCCAGAGAACACCTTGTGTACTCAGGTTTCGTGGTAGGCTTGGTCTCCTCCTGTTTCTCCAGTCCTTTCATCTCTAGCTGAAGTGAATGAAAAGAAAAAGAATTGCTCTTGGTTTTGACAGATTTCTTGCTTTCAAATCCATACTACTTTAAAATGTAACTTGTTCCCTTCAGATTGAGATTGAATTCTTGCTGTACAAGGCAGTTTTAAATAGTAATTTATGTGTTTTGATTGTTGTGTTTTTATATGCTCTTTTGAGACAGAGTTCAGCTGTTTTGACTCCAGGGAAGAAATGTTTCCCTTGAAGGGGTGGTTGTGGTTTTGTATACCATAGATAACTGTTTAACTCATAGCAAACATTTTGGAATGGTTAATCGTGTTGACTTCTGCTCTATGATAATGTTTTCAGCCAGGGTCTAAATGCTCCTCAGAGTATGGTCCCATTCTAGTAGTATTACCGTCTCCTTGGTCCTTGTTAGAAGTGTAGAATCTCAGGCCTCACCCAGACCTACTGCATGCATTGGATCCTGCACTTTCATAAGCTCTCCTGGTAACTGCAGTGCACATTTCTGTAATAGTTTATGAAAATGCTGTTCTAGACCAGTGTTTTTCAATGTTTACCTGCTTCTTACTTGTACATACTGTTACTGCTGACTGTGGCCTAGTAAGAATGAGCAGGTGGGCTGATTGCAGAGTTGGGATGCCATGCTTTTGTTACCTTTCAAAGCATTTTAAGTTTAAGCTGATGCCACTAGTAGTCGTTTTATTTAAGAATAATAGTCAGATTGAAAAGAAAGTCATTCCCAATCTTGTGCTTTAACTTTGGAAGTAACAAAGTTAATTTCAAATGACACATTTCACAGCTAATTGCCCATCTGCTGAGAGCCCCTGCTAAGGATAGGCAACTTTATAGTGCATTTTTCTCTATTCTTTTATTAAGTGGAGAGAAGCAGTGGTACAAGTATTTCACAGTCCTAGTTTTCTTATGCAAACGAATGTTTTTTTCTTATAAACACAGTTGATTCTAACTTTGGTAAGTTGTGAACCAGAGGCCATGATTTATTTTCATTTGGCACTCAGTATATTTGACAGGTTTCCTTAGGGATGGGTATAAAATTATACCCATAGTGTATTTGGGTGTACTTGTAGTGTATTTGGATAATGAAATTTGAAATATTAATGACTAGTGTAAACAGCCTTCAACATAATGAAAAGTAATTTATTTTCAAATAATTAAAACAGCGAATCCAGTATGCAAAAACAGATTCTGATATAATATCTAAAATGCGTGGCACCTTTGCTGACAAAGAGAAGAAAAAAGAAAAGAAAAAGGCCAAAACTGTGGAACAGACAGCAATTACTGCTAATAAAAAGCCTGGTCAGGTAAGATGGACAAAAGTTCCTCTTTTTTTGGTGTTAAAAATTTGATAGGGATGTCTGCCTTCCACTTGAGGGATGATGTTTGAGGTATTCATGTGCACTTGTGAGTATGTGTGTTTAAAAGGTGGGTTTTTAAGAAACTAGACTGGTTGAGTTTTAAAGTTCCAATATTTATGTTCTAATCAAATTAGAAGATAAGCCTTGACATATGCAGATTTATATTTAACAGTTTTATTTGAATTTGTATGACATCATTCTGTTCATCATTCACAGAATATATTAATATCTTTTGGCTTATTTCTCAAGTTCTGTCTGTAAGTGGTACTGTAGATATTACCTATAATGATGACAACTCCACTTAAAGCTGCTTTCTTTGAACAATTTAGGAATTCAAAATTTAATTTAAAATAACAGATAAAAGTGAAATCATTATCCAAGAGAAGTTCCTTTTAGAATTTCACTAAGTGTAATGCTTGACTTTTGTCTAATTCTTTTTTTTTTTTAAGAAAAAATTTTTTTAAAAAGGAAAAAAAACTCCCTGTTTTCTCTTTTGTGGATTTCTTCATAATTTTAAGGCACAAAGGTTAAATTTTATGACATAGTCTTTCAAATTTATGGCTAGACTTTTGAAAAATACTTGACAAGCTAAATATATGAATGTTTGAGTTTGAGCTAAGATGTAAGTTCTTTTTTTAATTAAAGTTTATTTATTTTTAGAGAGGGTGAGAAACATCAGTGTGTGATTGCCCCTCCCATACCCCCACTGGGGACCTGGCCTGTAACCCAGGCATGTGCCCTGACTGGGAATCGAACCAGCAGTATTTCAGTTCACAGGCCAGCACTCAATGCGCTGAGCCACACCTGACAAAGCAGATGTAAATCCTTGAAATTAAATGGAATATGAAGTCTGTTTAATGTTACTTGTATGGAGCAATATAAACACATGCTGCCTTTTCTTAGAGGGATTGAATATTTTAACTGTTTCTCTGTTTCTTTTGTTTAGGGAGTACCAAATTCAGCTAATACCCAAGGAAATGCAACACCAAATCCTCAGGTAGTGTTTTTTTCTCTGTGTAGTGCTTTAAAATAAAACTTTATAGAAAGCAATAGCAGTAATATACAACAATCTGATATCTCCAAAAACTGAAAATAATTCTTTCGGTAAGATAGAACATTGAATTATGTAACACTTTAATGTAGAAACTTAGAACATATTAATTTCCTTTAGGAGGGAGAAAACCAAACCTGACTTTATTCCTTACTTTTCCTAATGAGTCAATGAGGCAATCAGAATGATGGGTTTTAAGCTGTGAGGGCTGGAAGCAAATGTTTTTGTTTTCCCCCCAGTATGTTACCCAGGGCTCTATAGACACGTCTGAGGAAACTGGCCAGGGAATGGGCTGTCCGTTCCATCCAGTTAGCTGAAGGTCCTAACTAAACCATCTTTTCTAACAGAATCACACAAAGCTGTTCCCATTTACCCTTGCTCGCTCTCGCTCAGCACAAATGTATTTGTCTCCTTGTATAGGTGTGTTACAACACACATAGGTATGTTAGGTGTATAGGAGATCTTTCCAGATCTCCTTGCTAAAGGCCTCAGAGAGAAAATCTCACGGTTTTCTTCTTGCTTCCTAGGTTCTTAAATTAGAGAATTCTTGCATCACTGAAGTTTTGCTGCTCTGATTTCAAGTTATTTGCATTTTCTTATATTACCTACTTTCCATCTTTGAACTTTTTAAATTGTTATAATCCAGTTCAGAGATGCCGGGACTGAATTCTCTAAGCCTTAAGTTGTTATTTTTTATACTTCCTCTTTATTTTTCCATGAAGAGATGCTTTTTCTTACATACAAGATGATCTCACTGTAGTTCCCATAAACTCAGGGTGGAGTATCGAATAGTTAAAACCTAAGTAACAGTGCTTGTTTTCTACCTAATTTGTGTGTAACTAGATGCTAAGTATATTTCATTTACTTGCAAAAAACATTAGAAGTCACCAAGTAGTGGTTCTAAATCTTCTTAAATGCTGGGAGGCAGTAAACAAAAAGGGAATTGAGTGTCTGTGTTACTGCTGGGTGACCAGCTGGGGGGGCAGTGGCATTGCAACCTGCTCCAGTTTTGTCACCATCTTCCAGCTATGTAACCCAGACGACAAACTCCTCTGATTATGACTGATTTCCAGATACTTAAATATTGTTAAATACATCCAAACTGGTAAGATTGATAATTTGCCAGATTTGTGTTAAGTGATTTGAATGTCTGTTTTGCTTAGTTACTGTTAGGTTTGTATTTATTTCTCTGGTGTCATTAGTTTTCATCCTCAGTGTTTGGTGCCGTGAGAGTTCATAAGCCTTAATAATCTGCAGTGTAGCTCTCTCAAGGTTAGTTTACAGTACTTTTTATGCGTACACGCTACCTTTACCTTTTTTCTTTTTAATAGGTCCCTGATTACCCTCCAAACTATATTTTATTCCTTAATAATCTACCAGAAGAGACTAATGAGATGATGTTATCCATGCTGTTTAATCAGTAAGTTTTTTTGTTTTTTTTTTTAAAGTATGTGTTCCAAGAGCCTTCTGTCAGGAGAAATAGCACTTCCATGGATTGACTCTATTTGTGTACCATACAGCAGTAATTTCTTTATTCATTAATTTGGTCTGGGATTAATCATGAATTGAAGTCAGTCTGCCATTTTTTAGCAAATAAAAAGCTAAATTATCTCAATATTTTAAATTATTCTTATTGATGTGTAAAATAGAAAACCAAGCTTTAATATAGTGACAAAAATATTTTTAGCTTACATTATTCCTATAATTCTTTCATGGTGTTAATTAGATTTTAATTATTATGGTATTATGTTTTATGTTTTTTTTCCTACTCAGGATTCTTGGTAGGATATGATACTTTTCAGGAAGTTACTGAATAAATTTAAACACAAAATAGATATTTATGTATTTGATGTCATTTATATATTCACATATATACAAATTGTTTTTGTTTAAAGGTTCCCTGGTTTCAAGGAAGTACGTTTGGTACCTGGGAGGCATGACATTGCATTTGTTGAATTTGAAAATGATGGGCAGGCTGGAGCTGCCAGGGATGCTTTACAAGGATTTAAGATCACACCATCCCATGCCATGAAGATTACCTATGCCAAGAAATAACATTTGGGATAGTTGTCTTTAAAGGACTTGGTGTTATTTATAGTGTTTGTTTTGATAAGACCATTTGGTCAGACCATTTTAATAGTTGGGGGTGGGAGGAAGTAAAAGTGAAATTTTTGTGTAGGTTTTTAAAAATTACCTAGTCTTTCTTTAGCCTACTAGTGAAATATGAAATGTGAAGGCCTTAATTTTGTACAATAAACTTTTATTTGTATTCTGTGTATAATACTTCATTTGTTGACCCGCTGTCTTATCATCAAATACTTACGCTAGTCTAGAGCACAGGTTAAGGTAAATAAAACTAATAGGATGCTTTCCTGGTATTATTTTGGAGCAGTCAGTGTAGAGAAACAGTGAACCACTTTAATAAAAAGCAAAGAATTAGATCAAGCCTTTGATTAGATTATCTGTAATGCTATTTTTTAGGCCCATGAACTGCCACGCTTCAGTTCCCTTTTAAATATATATATTAATAGTAAATATAATCATCCTGGGTGTTAGAAGAAAATGAGACCTTCATATTCTTCAAATAAATGAGCATAGTACCTTACCGGTAGTACGCATTTCACAAATATTTTTGTTAAGTGTTTAATTGAATAAAGACCATTTAGGAGTAAGTACTTACTGTGTTCTGGGAAGACAGAAAGCAAAGGAATATCATCTTTAAACTTCACATTGTATGCTCTTAACCTCTTGAGGCAGAATTGTTCCCAAGGAATACCTGTGTGGCCAGTACTGAAGGTCTTTATTGAAATACATCCAAGATGATGATTTTACAATCTACAGTTGTTTTTTTTAAAAGACAAATAAGCTGAGTTTAAGGGGTTGCCAATTCTACTCTTGCTATCTTTTTGTAATTCTTCAACTTGGATGTTCTAATATTTTCAAAGCTTATTTTTAGCCTTTGATTTATACCTAAGGCTATTGATTTAGGCCCATACTAGTAAAAACAGTACCTTTTTAGAAGTGAGACTTTTTGGCATGGATAGTACATATTAAAATGACACTACTGATTATTTTTTCATATTCCTATTTCAATATTTGCTTCAACAAGACTTCCTTACCACATAGAATTTTTCTTGTATACTCATGGAAAGACTTAAGTTTATGTAGATTATCACATTACTCTTGTGCATATATATGGAATAAAAAGCAAAGTAATTTAAAGTCCTAAAACTTGGAAACATTTGGCGACTGACTTACGAATAACATGTTTAACCTACCTGTCAAGTTTATGTACTTTGTAGAATTTAACAGTGAATTAGTAGTTAAAGAACATGCTCTTGAACGTTACAGCAACTCCAATTGCTGCCACATTTTCTAACTGCTTACTCAGTGGCTGTCCTTAGCTTGTCTCAGAAAGTGTTTCACAGACTGGCTTCACTCTGAGTGGCTGGATGAGGAAGTAGAAAGGTACAGTGTGACCAGTGCGGTATGAGAAGAAAAGTCGGGAGGACCAAAGAATGGGATTTTGCAGGACTTTCAAGGACTTGCTTGCATTTCGTGTGAAATTGGGGAGCTATTAGGTGACTTTTTAAATTGAGTTATTTACATATAATAAAATTCACTCATTTTAGTGTTCAAATTAATGAGTTTTGGCAATAATGTATAGTTGTGTAATGATAAGATGTAGAGTATTCCACCACCCTTCAAAGCTCTCTGGTTACATAGTCTTTCCCCCAGCCCCCAACTGTAGGGAGCTACTAATCGACTTTCTGTCGCTGTAGTTGTGCCCTGTCTAAACACTTGAGGTTCATCTCTAGTGCACATACCAGCACTAGAGACTGTTCTGCCAATGGATGGGTATTTGGTTCTTTCAAAATGAAGTGGCTATGAACATGCGCATACCTATGTAGACCTATTTTAGAAGATTTTGAGTGGAAGAGTGACATCTGATTTACTTTGGTAAGCTTTTTATTTTGATACAATTTCTAATAGGTATGAAAGATGCCGAAATAGCACATAGAGCTCTCATAAATGTTTCTGAGCCACTTGAGAGTGCATTGACCTGGTTCCTCATTACCCTTTAAACATTTAAGTATTTTCCACATATCTAAAATTTGACCAGCAAAGTCAGGAAATAATATGTATTATTTAATCTAATTCAAATTTTGCTGATGTCCTACTAATGGCTCAAGAAACCAATTCAGGTGCATGTGTGGCATACAGTTGTCATTTCTCCTTAGTCTCCTGTCCTTTCATAATCCTGTCCTTTCATGATTTTCCCCCCCTAGTCTCATGTGCAGCTTTATTACCTAACCAGAATCCAGTCTCTGAAACATCAAAGCTAATTGTTCCAAAGTTGAATGAAAAATACAGCTTACAGCTCTGGCTGGTGTGGCTCAGTGGATTGAGTGCCAGCCTGTGAATCAAAGGGTCACCAGTTTGATTCCCAGTCAGGGCACAAGCCTGGGTTGCAGGCCAGGTCCCCAGTAGGGGGCACACGAGAGGCAACCACATTGCTATTTCTCTCCCTATCTTCCTTTTCCTCTAAAAATAATAAGGAAAAAGTCTTTACAAAAAATACAGTTTACAAATAGTTAATAGCTTCTGGAAAGCATTTCTAAGTTAAAAATGAAAAAATATGTACATGATATATCATCAAATACAAGTTAGCTCCAAATCTCATCGGGTCTACACTCAGCAACATCAATCCAGCTTTTTCAAAATCTTTCTGTTGGATCCATAAAGCTTTTTTTCCATGACAGGGCAGGGGATGGAAATTTCCATTCAGAATTCCATACGTTATGACATCATCTGGAGTTAACTTGCCATGCAAGTTCTTTAAGATTACTGCTCTCTTGCTCAGCAAGGTGCATTTGTATGGCAACAGATCATGTTGGGAGGGGATCTGGTGCTCAGTTGCTTGTTTTGGGTTCCCTGGAGCTCACTGAGCAGTTTGGTAATCTCTCCAAGATTCCTCTGGACACTTCACCTTCTTCAGAGTCAAAAACTTCAACTGGAGCACCAAGTTTGCGAATGCTTCCAGTGCTACGGGCCTGTCCTGACCAACAGAGTCTAACTGCCCCATGGGCTCTATTTCTGTAATCTCTATTTCTTTGGCAGTGTCAAGTGTCCTAGTTTGGCCTTCATCTTGAGGTGGTGATGTTTTTAGCTCTTGCAGGATTCTAGAATGCCCTCATTTTATTAAAAACATCCAGTAAACTATCTGCCATGACATAGGGGTAATCTTGGCATTGGCCAAAACCTCATGGATGCTTAAATCACTGGGGAGACCAGGATCTTTCTCATAGGTTGAATGGATCAAATCAGAATGGTCCTAGCTGATATTGGCAAACTTGGAGTCATTAATGTTATGTGTAAGAACTGCAGGACTTGTAATTCAAGTATGGCACCAGAGTTAACTTTGTTTCTTTAATCTTCCGAGATGCTGTAGAGTATTCATTCCAGACTGAAGCCTTCCAGTGGTCATTCCCAGTCTCACAGGAGAGTAGTGAGGTTCTACAATGTAGTCCACAAGGTGCAGAAGTACCAGCGTCCTTGTTCCATCTGGTTTTCTTCTTTCAAACTCACACTGACTATTAACAAGCTGCTGGGTCAGCTTCACTCAAGATTCCTTAACGATGCAGTCATTCTCCCACTCTCTATATTATTGCTTCTACTTTGATCTTCAAACATATCTTTCCTTTTTTGTTTTCCTTGTTGGGATTTTAAGACATGTTTCTGACTTGTTTCACTAGAATCCTCCCTTTCTGGAGGCCAGCATCTGCTTTCTTCCCTGCTCTGCCAGGTGCCTGTTCTGTCCTTCTGCCTTTAACTCTTCTGCAAGTCTGCTGTGAAGTCTATGTGCTGAATTTTCTCCTGACAGACTTTTCATTCCTGAGCGCAATAGCTTCTTTGCAGCTTTATAATAAATGGTCTCTGGTTTATTGTAAAGCATAGCATTAGTACACAAATTGGAAGCCATCCTTCAGTTCTTCCATCCACTGGTAGCTATTATACTTGATCTTTTTTTCACAGTACTAAAATCCATTGGGTGTTTAAAGATCATGGAGTAGCCAGGAGCAATAACATCAGTCACAGGGAATAAAAAGAAAGCTCTTGGATTTTTTCTCTCCAACTGTCTCATTAGTTGATTCAAATCTTACTGAAGAGGTGTCTGCTCTAGTTCTTGTTTGGCTAAAGAACTTGCAGAGGCTTTTCAAGACTGAAGCCTAATCCTACAGAGGCCTGGCACTGGTGGTCTTTCTGCCTCATTCTCGACAAGGTCCATTCTCACCTCTTTTTACCTTCCTTTACATGTCAGGGTTTTCTCCCCTTTTCTTCCTCTGGAACCTGCTTCTCACCTTTCTCTTTTCTATTTTCTGTCCTTGGGTTTGTCATGATCGTTCTTGGAAGAGGCTTGAGTCCTGCTGGAGCTGCAATTGGGGAGCTCGGTGACTTTGTTCCCTCCTGCTTTGAGGACCAGCTTCAAGGGCTTTTCTACATACTCCTTGTAGAGGCAGGTGCTTTTTCGACTTGTGCTTCTTGCCCATGTCTGAGCAGTCCTGGTGCTGCCCTGTGTGCCAGGCCCAGGCCTTGCAGCACAGCTTTGGGTCATGGCTAGGTGAATGGAGGGTGAGAACCGGATGCATAAGACACGCCACCTCCCACCCCCACACCCACAAGATGCAGCTTGAGCCCTTCTTGATCATAATTTTACACAGAGATATCTATATGTATCTGGACATTTGTATACAATTACATTAAAACAATGAATTTACAACCGTACTTCTAGTTTCAATTTAACAACACTTAAAAAAAATTGTTGTTGAAGTACAGTTTTCTGTCTTTTATTTCCATCCCAGCCCACCCTGCCAGTGCTCCCCTCCTCCTTCCCATTTCCACCCCTTTATACTAGTTCCTGTAAATCCTTCCCTTTTTTCCCCTGAAATTCCCTCCCCTTAACCCTCTGGTCACTGTCCACCTGTTCTCTATTTCAGTGCCTGGTTATATTTTGCTTGCTTGTTTGTTTTGTTGTTTAAGTTCCTGTTAAAGGGGAGATCATATGGTATTTGTCTTTCAACACCTGGCTTATTTCACTCAGCATAATGTTTTCCAGTTCCATCCATGCTGTTGCGAAGGGAAGGAGCTCCTTCATTCTCTCTGCTGCATAAAATTTCATTGTGTATATGTAGCATAGATTTTTGATCCATTCATTTACTGATGGGCACCAAGGTTGCTTCCAGCACTTGGCTATTGTAAATTGTGCTG